TCCAACCCTCATGTTGAAATTTGATCCCCAGTGTTGGAGATGGGGCCTGGTGAAAGGTGTTTGGGTCATGGGGGTGGATCCCTCATGAATGGCTTGGTGCTATCCTCAAGGTAATGAGTGGGTTCTCGCTCTATGAGTTACCCCGAGAGCTAGTCATTAAAAAGAGCCTGCCACCCTCTCTCTTTTGCTTCTTCTCTCTCCATGTGCACATACCAGCTCCCCTTCCCCTTCCACCAAGAGCTAAAGCAGCCTGAAGCCCTCACCAGAAGCAAATGCTAGTACCATGTTGCTTCCGTGTAGCCCGCAGAACTGTGAGCCAGATAAACCTCTTTTCTTCATAAATTACCCAGCCTCAGGTATTCCTTTATAGCAACACAAATGGACTAAGACAAACTAACACATTAATTGCCCCACTCAGCGAACATGTTGAGCACCTCCAGTGTGCGAGGTACTGTTTTAGATCCCAGAAATATGCAGGCAACAAAAGATAAATCCCAGCCCTCATGGAGCTTGCAGTAGTTAGAATCCAACATTAAACAAATAATGAAACATGTAGTACTTCACAGGTGGTAAGTGACATGAAGGAAAATTAGGCAGGGAAGAGGGGTAAGTCCTGGGGAGTAAGAAGTGGTCATGGAAAACTCTCTGAGATGGTGACATTTGATCAGAGACCTGGGCAGAAGGAACAGCAAATGCAAAGGCCCAAGGCAGGAGCAGGCTTGGCAGAGTTTGGATACTAGGAGGCCAGTGTGGCTGGAATAGAATGCAGAGGACACAGTGGGAGATTGTTAGAGGGTGACAGGATGAGAGGGAGGGATTGTGTGGGATTTGTGGGCCACTGTATGAGATAGGGAGCCACCAAGGGATCTTGAGTGGCAGTAAGTATAATCTGATTTATGTCTTTAAAAGGATCGCTCTTTGTCAAGGCACTGACTTAAAGTCTTGACAAACATTTCATCCTTATTTTTAATCCACATAGAGATGTTTCATGAGGTAGATGTCATTATCGCTATTTTTTTTTTTTCCTTTACTGATGAGGAAATTGAGGCTCAGAGAGATTAAGTAACTTCTCCAATCTGGGTAAAAGACGGAGGACGTGACTTGGGCATGTGGAGGTCGAGGTGTGGTGGGGAGTAGTGGAAAAGTACAGCCAATCCAGAGGGGGTCTTGAGGTGGGGCCTGGACTCGCCCCAGTGTGGTTACTGTTGAAGTCATGGAGCTGGGTGCACTCTCTGGGGGAGAAGCTGGAAACGTTCCTCCCTGTGTTGGAGTAGGGAGTGGGGACAGAAATTCACTGCTTTTGGAGATAGAAATGTCCAAACCCTTAGGAACTTGGACATTTGTGTTGTCACATCTGTCTCAGCTTAGCAAGGGGCTGAGGTTAGCACAGTACAGCAGCAGTGAGCGTCTCCTGACCTCCTCCAGGAACTTGGTTTCTCCAGGCATGAAGCTTGTGCCATTCCAGGCTCTACTGGGCACACCAGGGGGCATGGAGGTGACCAGTAGCTGCCCCCAGGGGGCAGTGGGCAGGTTTGCTTCTTCCCGTGTTAATCCTGGGTGACGAAACCTCGATTTCAGCTATTATCTTCCCAATCTTTATCCAATAACTTCACCTTTACCTTGAATAACACGCACTTTTACACTTGTGAGGTTACTCCTCCTCCCCTTTTTTTTCCTGAAAGTAAAACAACTTGGGGAGATTGGCTTTTATCCTTATGAGGCCCCGTAGAGATGGAGTGGCTTACTTCACAGCAGTGTTGGTTTACAGCCTGCAGGCCAGTGTTGCTTTTCACATGGCTGAAGACTTTCTTTTCAAGCAAGAAATTTGCCTCATGTCCTGTCAGTTCTCATTATTAAATCAGAAACAACCACTTTTTTGTGTTGATCTTTCATTGTACATTTTGAGATGATGCTTTTTGTTTTTATTTTGCTTTTGCCGCTGGCTTTCCAAAGATGTTTCTCTGTCACCTTTGTTAACATGGCAACTTTCAAGCGTATGTACAGAGAACGTGGCAACTTTCAAGCACATGTCCCATTCCCATTTTCCGTCTTTAACAGTTATCAACAGGCTGCCACTTTTTGTTTTATTTGCTCCCCCCACCCCACCAATTCTGTAGTATTTTAAAGCAAATCTTGGATGCAAATTATTCTTTTAGGGAGAAACCCATCTACAGACTAGGTCATTGTTACACCTCGGGAGCTGAGCAGCAGTTCGCTTGCCCCTGTCAGAGCTGGCGTAAGAGTCGTGCTTTTCCCAGGCCTGCAGCTTTGCAGAACCTTTCTCCAGGTACCTCAGTTCGTAGGTAGAGAGTGCTAAGATGGCCATAAGGTCCTCCTACTGGAATTTATCTCCTCCTAAGCTTAGAAAAAAAACACAGTTCTTAAACACTGATATAGCTGTCCCAGGAATCCTTCCCTGTCCCCTGCTGATGTCCTGTATCTTAACTAGAACCTTTGTGGTGAGGGCATATCTTGGGACCTGCGGCCTCAGTGTCAGGTGGCCAGTGGAGAAGCTGTAGAAAACCAGGACAATCCCCATCTGCAGACGAGTCCCTGAGACTGAGCAAATGCTGCACAGCAAAGATCAGGTTATGAACAGGAGTTTAAATCATGTTGGTCTCATGTCTTGTTTCTGGTGATGTCCTCTTAATCTGCGTTTATCTGCGATAGCTTTAAGTGGCTGAGATGAACAAAAAGGGTGCCATTTTTACTGCTTCGTTTCTTTGGAATATGACATTCTCGCTCTTCCTGGTTTGTGTGGCTTCAGGGCCGTGTTGAAGTAACTGGGTTGTAATTGCACCTCGAGGAGTTTGTGTTTCAGTAGGATGCGTGTCGTGCACCTTTATTTCCTGTCTCTTGCATCAGTCTGTTTGTGAGAGTGTACGAGAGGTGATTAATGGGAAAGAAAAACATATGCTCACCACTGAAGGTTCTTCCTGTTTCTTAAAGTGTTTTTGGTTTAGTGAATTGTTTGTTTGCTGCCCACAGACCACATATGTTGTGTGTACTTCTGTTGTTGTGAACTCCATATGCCTTTGTGAAGGAGTTGGGCTTTTAAAGTGAAGCCAACATATGATCAGGCTTGAAAGATTTTCCTTCATCCGAGAATCCCAAGTGACTAGGAGGATCGGATGGCCGTCTGTCACTATAAGCAGAGCCCGCAGAGTCTGGAACAAGGTGTACAAAATCACGTGAGAATATTTGCCGTCCTTGCCCCCAGCTCTGAAGCTGTGTGCAGCGTGTCTGTCCAGCCCATGGGGTTTTGATCGCTGGAAATACGTCATTGCTGTGAGTGTCATGCTTGTGGACTTTAGATCTGTCACCTCACAGTGCTGCTGTGTTGGTGTTCGTGCCCTCTCACGGCCACCGCCATTAGCCCCCGGAATCAGGTGATTCCTCTCACTTTGTGCCTGGGAGAATCTAGAGATGAGAAATCCTGCTGCTAACTGCTGCTTTGAGAAAAAACTTACAATTTACAAAGTAATGCCTGCTTTTGTAGGAATTTTGAGAAATATAGAAAAGATGGGAGAGTCATTTATATTTCTAGCAAAGATAACTTAAACAATTAGCATTTTTGGTCTTTCCATCTAGTTTTTTCCATGTAAAACATTGAAGATTTTTCCCATAGTTTCATTAATACTCTGTGTATAATGTCTTTTCTCCTGAACATAATAGCATGAAGACTTGTACATGTTGTAAAACTTTATTAGTCCTTTTAGAAGCCTTAATTTCCTGCCAAGTGGCAGAAATAGTTTAACTGTATTGTTGAATACTTAGGTCATTTGTGATGCTACTGTAAGCATCTTTGTACAAAAAGCATTTTCTGTATTTTATCTTTAGACTGGATTTTACAGAAATACAATGAATGGATCAAAGGTAATAAACACTTGGCTGCAGGACTGCCACGTACTGCTCCAAAGGTGTGTCCATTCACCATCCAATCAAAATCAGTTCTTAAGCCTCAGTTTTGCTTTTCCTAATAGGAAAAGCTACAACTCCAGCTATCTGACAAGGTAAAGATTTAGGTTTTAGAAATGTCAGATGGTGATGCCATCACCCCTTGTCCACTGTGGATAGCGACTGGCTCTTCCTTCTATGTCCGTCCCCCCAAGTTCCATGCAAGTTTCTTGACAGCACTTCTCCTCTGCTCTCAGTTCCCTATCCAGTCTCAGTGACGATCATAAGAGCTTACGTTTTGTGTCTCTGTGTGTGTGTTTTCTAAAGTAACTTCACATACATTATCCCATGGAGGTAAATTTACATCATCAGTATAAGTTGCAACTTGGTCCTGGGAAGCCTCTGGAAACCTTGACGTTTTAGGGGCTGTCTAATGATGCCTTTGTTGTTGTTCTTTTGCACAGATCCGGTCCTGCAGGTCCCAACACATGTGGAAGAGTAAGTTTTCTAATTTGCTCAGTACTTCCCTTAATTCATAGTCTTATTCAATCAATATTTATGAGGCTAGTTGCTGGGAGTATATATGTATGCATAAATTTAAGGCATAACAAGAAAGAGTGAGACATATGAAGTCTTACAGGTGCTATGATGGGTGCATAATAGGCAATGGTATTAAAAAGACTTGAGGTGGAACTTGAGTTTTGAACTTAAACTTCCAAAGTCCTCAGGAGGACTAGAAGAGGACCTCTCCCTCTTTGATGTGTCATACCGCGGAGAGAAAAGGTGAACGTGACCTGCTACTAGAGAGTGTGTGTTGGAGTAGATGTTGGACAGCACCTGTGAGAGCCTCAAATGATGGTGCATCCTAGGCAGAGGAAAGAGTCAACAAGGGGTTTCCAAGTGACCTTAGAGGTAGTTCAGTCTCTAGCAGATTCATGTTACAGAAGACTCCCTCATGTCTGCCTTGCAGGAAGCTGCTGCTGACGGAGGGAACTTGATCTGTCGTCTGCTTGGTGGGGTCTCTCTGATGTCAAGCTGTCAGAGTCCACGTTTATTGCCTCCAGTTAAAAAATAAATGTCTCTTGAAGACTAAAAGGAGATTTGTTCTACCTATTTATATACCTTGCCATTGCTACTAAATTTTATTTTGTTTTTTTAGATAGGGTCTTGCACTGTAGCCCAGGCTGGAGTGCAGTGGCACAATCATAGCTTGCTGTAGCCTCGAATTCTTGGGCTCAGCAATCCTCCTGCCTCAGCTTCTCGAGTAGCCAGGACTACAGGTGCGTGCCACCACGCCTGGCTCATTTTTTTATTTTCTGTAGAGATGGGGTCTCACTATGTTGCTCAGGCTTATGCTATTAAATATTAATCATTGAAGTTCTAGTCACAATTAATGTAGAAATCAAAAAGTAGAATTGCTGGGTCCTTTTCACTTATTTTATCTTCATCCAGAGTGCTTTGATCAAATTATGATTTACTATTCTGTGGTTTTATACAATTTCTCCACTCAAGTATAGTATACACCACCATAGGAGTATTTTATTTATCTGGGGCTGAAGAGAGAGAGTAGTGGGTGGAATTGTCTTGCACACACATACACACAGACACACACACACAACCACCCCCCAATCCCTGCTCTCCATTTTCCCATTATGGCTTTGCATGCCTTTGATATTTTGTTCTGTGTCCTGGGCTGTAATTTGTCATTGACACTTACTGTTTAATTGCTAGGCCTGCCTTCCTCCCAGATCCCAATGATGGCAGCCTATACACACTTGGGGGCAAGAATAATGAAGGTCTGAGAGTAAGTATATTTAGCTTCTTTGTATATTCTGGGGGTTCTTGACCAGTGGTTCTTAACTGTGTCTGCATGTTCAGATCAGCTGGGAGCTTTAAAAAAACTTCTGGGGATTCTGATTCAGGTAGTCTAGAGCAGGGCCTGGGCATCAATATCTTTTCAGAGCTTCCTAACTGAGCTTCTACATGTGCATCTAGAGTTCATAAACAATGATATAAACTCCAGGTTCTTGTGGCCCTGCCAACACAATAGAAGGATATGACGCTCCCATTAGTAACAGGGTTTGTTCTAACTGTCACCCTCAATTTGGGAGAGGGTGTATATTGTAAACACTGTCTCTACCCCCAAACCCCATCCTTAGGAGAGGCATGTCATATTCTATTCTCATCTCCATTTGAGAACCTAGACCAGTGGTTTTTAACTTTAGCCCACACATAGGGTCACCTGACTTAAGACAAATGTGACATTGCAGTGCAATAGGGAAGGATGGTCTTTTCTATAAGTGGCGTAGGTCAATTGGGATATCCATATAAAAAAAAAAATCTTGATTCCTACTCCCCACCATACCCACACAAATCATTTTCAGATAGATCGCATATCTCAGTGTGAAATGCAAAATAACAAAGCTTTAAGGAAAAAAAGCAGAACATCTTCATGACCTTAGAGTACGTAAAGATTTCATATCTAGAGTAGGATATGAAAAAAAATACACTAATCATAAATTTGGTAAAAACATTGATATATTGATTATATTAAAGCTAATAATTTTCCTTCATTAAGAGAGGAGACCATAAAGTATTTGCAGTACACATATCCAACAAAGGATTCAGAATATAGAAAGAACTCCTATGGATCATTAAAAAAAAGACAACTCAGTATAAAAATAGCAGAAGAGGGTATCCAAATGGTCAATAAACATGAAAAGGTGCTCAGCTTTGTTAGTTGTTAGGGAAATGCAAATTAAAATTACAACACTATACTACTATCTGGTATGCCATAATGCCACTCAGCAGAATGGCCAAAATGAGAAAAATAGAAAAAGAAAACATGTTTGCTGGGGATGTGGAGCAAGCAGAAAGAACTCTCACCCACTGCTGGTGGAAGTCCAGGTTGGTACAGCTGGTTTGGAAAACTGACAGTATGTACCGAAGTCCTCATGACCCAGGAAGGCACTCCCAGGTTACGGACCCAACAGAAATGCATGTGTATGTTCACCAAAAGACGTATACCCAAATGTACTGCAGCACCACTTCTAATAACCAAAAAAAGTAGAAACTAGCCAAATAGCATCAGCAGTAGAATGGATAAATAAATTACGGACTAGTTGTGCAGTGGAATACTCTACAGCAATGAGAACAGTCTACGACTATACACTACAACGTGAGTGACTCTCGCAAACTTAATGTTGAACAAAACAGGACAAGGAAGGCTACACTCCAAATGATTCATTTATATAAAGCTCAAAAACAGGAAAAACTAGTCTATGCTGTTTTGAAGTTGGGATAATAGTTATCCTAGAGAGTTATGGCTAGAAAAGTGGGTAAGAAGGGGGCCTACCAGAGCATTAGAAATATTCTATTTCTTCATCCGGGTGGTGGTCACATGGGTATGTTCCCTTCGTGGAAACTAACTGGGCGCTATGACTCTGAGTGTGTTTCTGTTTGTATATTGTGCTTCAGTAGAAAGTTTAAAAAGCCTCCAAGTGTTCAAATATGCAGCCAAGGATGAGAACCACTGGTCTAGACTGTAAGTAGGTTGTGGGCTCTAATTTGGCTATTTTTAAATTATTTTATGAATACCTGTGACTGAACCAGCTGGGAGAACGCCCTTGTAGAGTTGTGTGTACCCCACTTTCAGCATTTGTCTCCACTGCTTTCTCTCCACATTACTGCCTCCCCTATTTCTTAAGCAGTTGTTTGCCAGAAACCGTGTTGAGTGATTTGTGTAAGTTATCTCCTTTGATCCTTGCAGCAGCTCCGTAGGGGGTATCCCCATTTTAAGGTGTGGAAACTGAGCCTGGAGAAGTGAAGGAACATGCCCAAGGCTGAAGCTTCCAGTGTTGGAGGTGGCACTTAAAGATCTCTGACTTCCAGAGGATGCTGTTCACCACCACCTTGTGTTTCTTCCTCTGTTGTGGTTTAGCAGCTCCAGGAACAATGTGTTTCCAGCTCGGACCTGCAATCCAGAGACCTGTGGCAATGCCCAGCAGAGACCATAGGACTCCAGACTGGAAGACTTGCACCGACTTTCTGATTCTCAGAAATACCTGGCACAAACCCAATCATGACAGCCTCTCTGTGGTGTTTTTTTCCTCCTCTAGGGCTCAGTTTGAATGTTGGGATGACAGGAAAATCCAAATTATTGATTAGTATTTAAAGTTCTGTTTATTAAAGCTAGTGAGAAATATTTTCTTCCTTAAAGAAAAAGGTGACAGTGTAGTAGAACCTGGAGTTTCTGTAAAAGCAGGTATCTATAGAACAGTTTCAAGAACACAGAATGTTCCAAAAATAAAGTATACTGAAACGAGCATTAACCAAAAGAACTAGTCAGATGTCAGCTGTGGACTCAAAAGAATCAGTTTTATGATGAAATGCAGTTGAAACATTTGGATTTCTTTGAGTTTCTTTTCCTGGCATCTACCATAACTTCCTTTTTAAAACCGAGAGGCTCCATTATTCTGGTTTTCAACAGAGAATTATTTACTGAAGAAAACATCAGACTTATTTTTCCACCTTAAGCTCTTACGTTGCCTGTGTCATGACAGTGGAGCATGACACAAGGTTGCATGTCTTCAGCACTCATCTCACGGCTCCCTCCCACTCTGAAAAAGAATCATTCCATCCGGTCTAGACAGCTCTGGGTCAGTTTCCAAGACAGGAGAATTTTTTTCTCCCACCCTTAGAATTTCACAGAATGTGTAACTCTCCATGTTTGTGTAAGTCTTTTTGAGAAAAGGTTAATGTCACCCCTGGGAAGTAGTCTGGACAGGAGCCCTTGGGTGGCCTCCTAGTGTGGTGTCCAATAAAAGAGTTGGTGTTTACAGGGCTCAGGGACCTGGGAGCCCCGGGGCTTGTGGGAAGAGGGGCAGGGAGCACAGGTGCCCCTTCTTGCTTTCCAATCTGGAAATCTCCCATCTGCCAAGTGCTTCTCTTTTTAGCAGAATTGGGTAACAGAAGCAGACTGCCCAGTAAAATTGTAGGAATCGCACAAGACTTGGTTAACTTATTTTTATTTCTTTCTTTCTTTTCTTTTTTTTTTAAAGAAACTTCCATTTACCATCCCAGAGTTGGTGCAGGCATCCCCATGCCGAAGTACAGATGGAATCCTCTACATGGGTAAGCATTCCTGTTTTCCACACTGAAACTTGTCTCTCTGTGACCGTGAGTCCTGCAATCTGAGAAAGTGGCTGTGGAGAGAAGGGCGCAGCCACCCCCTTGCCAGCCCTTCAGGGAGAGGCCTTCCTTGCCTCGATTGTGCTTCAGGTGCTGGTCTTGCCAGGATCAGCTGACCAGTTAAGAAAGGGTTCCTGCCACTTGGCAGAAGAATTGACATCATTAATATGGTTACTCATTTAACAAGCTTCTAGCTACTGTGTTGACCTACTCCTGCGATTTCAAGATTGCAACATAGCCAGTGGCAATTGGATGAAATTTAAAGTGAATACAATAGTCTGAGCCAAGAAAGGGAAGCCAGGCTCTGCCTATTAATTATAGGGCTTTCTTAGTATTTCCTGCTATCAGAATATTTGATAGAAACAGCACTTAACAGCTCACCTAGATAAACTGCCTTCATACCTGTGAGGTCACAGCTTTCAAAGCATCAGAGCACCTGCTTTTCTTTTACCACGTTGCTGCCAAAATGCCGATAAAAATGCATTTGTAACACAAAGGAGAGCTGTATTTAATCTTGAAATCATAGCAGTAATAATAGCCTATATTTATACGGCAGCTTTCTTTTTGAGGAACTGAAAGTGCTTGCTTATTGCCTAGTCACGTCCCAGGAGCTTTGTGTATGTTTCTGGGTCTCACGTGCAGGCCAGACTTTAAGTTGGGACAAACTTGCCCCCACACCTTCACAGTGAGGAACCCCCAGCCTAAGGATTCGGAGGAGGTGATCAGCACAGCCTTTCTCTCTCCTCTGGGCTCATCTGACCCGGGCTCATCTGACCACTCGTGCTGTTTCCTCTCTGGTCTTCCAGCTTTTGCTGGCAATTCATCATTTATGGTCTACTTAGGATATTGCGTTTCCATCACCTTTGTGTGGTGCCCTCTTAAGTGAGGTCATTAAGCATATTTAAGAGCATGGTAGTTGGCCAGTCCATGCATTAAAGTAGTAGCTGGTTATATAGACTGGAATGGCCTTGAGGTAGCCAGATGTATGAGCCGTATGGAAAGGGTTCATGGTCTTAGCTGTTCATTGACCTTTTCACTCTATCTCCAGATCTTTTTCATAGTAAGATGTTTTCGTTGAGGTCAGAGAGTTGTGATCTGTAGATAAGTTGCACACACATGGAGCAGGTGTGTATGCTGCACCTCTTAGACTAAGTGTAGCTTTAGCACGTTCTAATACCCTATGACATTCCCCAGCATTTCAGTATTCTGTTTCCAAGAGTTCCCGGAAATAGGAAACTTTTCCAATAAGTTAGGAAGATACGCATGACCAGAGATCATGCCTTACAAAACAGAAATAAACACATCACAGTGACTATGTTGACCTTCAGCTTGGAGGCCCATGCTACTGGCTCACCATGACCAGGACGCTCTGGTGTGTGTACCACAGGTACAGACGCTTGGGGTTTTCTTAGTAGTGGTGTTTGCTGTGCTATCTGCCTGTTCACATGGTTTAATCAGCGGACTGAGGTGAGGGTAATGACCTATAGCCAGGGCTAGCTGTGGACAGAGGCTGCGATAACTTTGGCCTCACTAGCATCAGGTTACAACCAACTCCACTGACCGGTTATAGGTACTAGCTAATGCAGTAGCTGCAGATCCTTCTCGCATATGAGCTAATTAGTATGTTGAGAAATATGAATGATGGTTACTAGGGAGATGCACCCTGGGTACGTTGCTATAGTTATGTAGATCTTAGTCTGTGGCAACAGGATTGTCCTTTACGGGCAAGACTTCTCATATTTAAGGCCACTAATCAAAGCAATAAAATCTAACTTGAAATTCTTTAGAACTTTTTTTTTTTTTTACCATATTTATGTTACTAGGTTTGGAGAAATTGTTATACCATGATTAGGTTATTGAATTATAAGACACAGTGCCTAAGAAGTTTTATTAATATTATCTCTACATCACCATTTACATTGTCACCTTCAGATCATTGTAGAAATGTCTTTGACATACTAAGAATTTTGGGCCTGTCAGCCCAGAAAACATCTTGGGCTGCTAGTTTGGCAGTGATATTTTTTTCCACATAGGACTGGTGTAAACAACAGTGTGTCCTTGTAACCTTTCAGGTAAAAAGCAGGACATTTGGTATGTTATTGACCTTCTGACTGGAGAGAAGCAGCAGACTTTGTCATCAGCCTTTGCAGACAGTCTCTGCCCATCGACCTCTCTTCTGTATCTTGGGCGAACAGGTAAGAAATGAACCTTTGTCTTGCACAGCCTGCCTCCAGAAAGGATCTGAAGAAGCTCCCCTACTGATCTCTGCCTCCCAGCCTTGTTGTCTAGAAGGTGGCCAGAGCTGCCTTCTCTAAACCCATGTCTAATGACATCATTCCCCTTTATAAGACTGTTCAGTGGCCCCCCCAATAGCTCAAGGGGTACAGTTCAAACTGCACCACAACCCACAACACCCCTGTGATGCAGCTGCCACTCCTCTCACCTCATCTGTCCCTGCATTTCCTCATCTAAATGTTTCCCAGTCAGGACGAACTACCTGCAGTTCCCAGAATAGCAGTGCTATTTTTAAAGACGTGTAGGGGTATGTCCCTCTCTACCAGGTATGCCTGTTTTTGCCTATCTGGCAAATGTCCTCTCTTCTTGCACAACTCTGCTCAAAAGTCACCTTCTTTGTGAAACCTCTTCTCTCGCCCTGCAGCTCCTGCCCTGCCCAGGGACACCCGATTATCCCGATCTGGGTGTGCTCATGGCACTTTACAGGCCCGTCATAGGCGCCATCTCTCCACACATCATTGTCCCTTTGTAGTGTGACTAGCACCCTCTTCACCATGCCATTTTCTGTTTCCTCTCTCATCAGGCTTTTTCTTCTTAACACTTGTCACTGCACATTTATAAATTTTTATTTTCTGCCTCCCCCACTAGAATATCAGTTCCCCGAGGGCAAGACTTTGTCTTGTTCACCTGCTGTATCTCCACACCAGCCATATCACCAGACACATAGCAGTGCCCAGACTCCCGCATGAGCTCGTGGGTGAGCTCCATTGCTGCAGGGATCTGTCTGCCTTACTCGTTTTTATATATGCAGTACCTCACATATATCAGGGATGCCATAAAAATGGTTGAATGATAGTTAAAGCTAAAAAAAGAAACAAGAAAACATTTAGAAGGAAAAACATTATATCACAATCCTAGGATGAATTCAGTACAGTTGAGCACTAAATTTAGATCTGAACATTCACATAGCCAAGGCTTTGAAAAAAGAGACAGAACCTTCCTTCAAGTCCTGGGAAAACAGTGCCTTTCTCATAGTCGGTGAGACTGATCTTGGGCCTGTCGAAGCTGGCTGGGCTCCCCTGGAACTGAGAGGAAGATCCTAGCCTGCAGGATTCTCCGTCCTCCCCCTGTAAAACTCAAGTTTTCCAGCTTCCAACTCTAGTGACGGCTTATGATTTTGTTTACCTTTTCCATCAAGTAAAACCTTACAATGATTCTGGCTTCACCGAGGTATAAAAATCATGTGGTTCTCAGGTAGGATTGTGGTATTTGAGGGTGTTGGGATATGCCCTGGCATTAGGTGGAATGTGTATGCATAGGTGTGTAAATCCATTGTTTCCATTACCTATTGCTGCATAACAAACCACCCGAACTTAGTGCCTCAACACAGCCACCATTTTGTTCATGATTCTGTGGGTAAGGCGTTCCGGAAGAGCTCGGCAAGGATGGATCATCTCTACTCCATGTGCTATTGGCCAGGCTCACTCATGTCTGGGACCTCAGTTCACCTCCATGCGACCTTTCTCCACACAGATAGCCTGGGCTTCTTGACATGGCCTCTGGGCTCCCTCTTGGGTAAAAGTGGATGTTGCAATGTCTTAAAAGGTCTGGGCTCAGAAGTTCCAGAACCTTACTTCCACTGCAATCTGTTAGTCAAAGCAAGTCACCAGGTCAGCTCAGAATCAGGGTGGAGAAATCTTGATGGGAAGGGGGACGTGCATACTACAGGGGTGGGAAGAGTTGTTGGCTGTGATCTTTTAAGACATCCTCCCTCTGGCTGCAGCAGTTTACAGGCTTCCCGCTTTCAGAATGTACTCAGCCCCTCCGGGACTCCCCAAGTGCAATCACAGCATCAGTCTCAAAATCCAGCATCTTGGGACCTATATCTGGTTTAGAGACGGATGAGGCTCCTTGAGTGCCACTCCTTTGATCTGGAGACTTGTGAATTAAACAGACAAGTTCTTTCTCTCCCCCACCTACCCCTTCCCCCAACCCAACATACAGTGGTGAGGCAGAGGCCGGGCAGCTGCAGCAACATCCCCATTCAAAAAGGGAAGGAAAGAGGGGCCTGCGGCAGGCACTGGTCTTCAGTAATTCAGCCAGGCACATGCTTTCAGGTTCCCCGGCTCTGGGCGCAGAAAACATTCCCTCATTAGGGCTCAGTTTTTATTCTCTGCGATTGGCTCCCTAATACATTGTTCTCAGTGGCTCTGGGTTCTGCCCTCTGAGAGGTCCTTTCTTTTCCATAAGAAATGGCTATTTTTGTAGCTTTCTCAGTTTGTTCCTTGTCCACTGAAAATTGGGGATCTAGAAGTCATGTTTTTCATTTTGACTATCTCTAATCCTTTTAGTCCATTCTGATATTACTCCTTTAAAATCTTTGTGGACTTCCCATGTGTCAAATTGTAGTCTGCTGCGTTAGATGAAAGCCATACCCCCAAGTTTCTCTCCTTTGGAATGTGAGAGCACTGCAGGCCAACATGCTTACGGTTCTTAGAACCACTCTGACCGAGCAGAGGGCCTGTGAAGTGCTGCCTAAAATCTTCCTGAGGTCTCAGAGAAGGATCTCATGGCCTCACCCTTGCTTCGATCTTGACCACAAGGCCATTTTTTGGCTGGCAGTGCCCTGGATTTGATCTTTGACCTAAGGCCATGTGTTACTTTGACAATCTTTTCCAGCTGGAGAATCAGGCCTGGACCCTCTCTGTTTCCCTCTGTATTCTGCTTGAAACTGAATGGTTTCTTCTTCAGCTCATTTGTCTTGCGTGTATCACACACAGCTAAGAGAAACTGCTTGGCGTTTTCTGCCTTCTGGCTGGAAATCTCCTTAGCAAGTTCATTAGGTACTTTTTCTCTCTGCCAAATTACAGCAAGCAGTAGTTGTACTAATTGTGCCACCCTACACACGCTCACAAGCTGGCTTACCCCTTTCCACTTCCAAGTTTCCGCTGACAGCTGTTTTGTTGACCCTCCATCCTCTGTCTGCCAGCTGGTCCCAAAGTCAGTGCCATATGTTTTAGGTTTTTGTTATGGTGCCATCCCACTTACAGGTACCAATTTCTCGTATCAGTGATCTACTATGTAAAAATCCACCCCAAAGCTTAGTGGCCAACAAGAGCAGCCATTCTATTGCTCACAGTTCTGTAAGCCATGAGTCAGGGGCACAGTGGGAGTGGCTGGTCTCTGCTCCACATGCTGTCAGCCGCGTTCATTCGTGTGTCTGGGACTGCAGTTTTCCTCCACGTTGCCTTTTTCGTTCCAAATGGGTAGTCTGGACTTTTCGACATGCAATTTAGGGAGAGTGTGTTTGTTGTAATTAGATAAGGTCCACACCCAAGTCGGTGCTGTGGCCCCTCCATCATAATGGGCTGGTCTGTGTTCTCCAGAATATACCATCACCATGTACGACACCAAAACCCGGGAGCTCCGGTGGAACGCCACGTACTTTGACTATGCAGCCTCATTGCCCGAGGACGACATGGACTATAGTAAGTGCTCCTGCCTGGGCTTCACAAGGCTGGGCTGGTACCTTTGACCTGTGTGGAAACATTGGCTCCAGGCAGTAGGGTTTTCTTTTTAACACTCTCTGTCACCGAGCTCTGGACTTCCCATGGCTTGTAGTAGATACTTCCCACAGTCAACGGGGCAGGGCCCTGGGCGATGAGAAGTCTGGATGGAAACCTGAGTGAAATGTGGGGAGTTTAGGCAGAGAGGAGGGAGGACATACCGTGTTGAGGCCCTTTGAGCCACAGAAGGAATTTACTACAGGCCCACGGAAAGTGGAACTAAGAATCAGCACATGACATTAACAACCCCGTCAGGAAGGCCGCTTTCCAAATGTGGCTCATCCCCTGGTTATTTCTCCAGTTAAAATTCCCCTGGCTCAAATGAAAACTAAAAACAATTTTGCCATCCTAACATCGCTATCTGCAAGTCTGACTCTGCCTTTCCTGTCGTGGGACCCAGAATATTTGTTTGTCCCTGAGGACTCCTTTGTGAGTCCGATGCGCCCGGTGTCAGTGGCTCAGGTCTGACTTTGAGCTTGAGGGTTGGATTTTTAAATGATTGCTGTGAAACGCCAGATTAATAGGCACCTCCATCGGCTCCTTTCTCCTCGATATTTGTTCTTACTGATTGACTAGAATTGGTAAAGAACATCACCAAATCAGTTGCCTTTGGGAGAGTGATCCTGTCTTGTATTTGGAAGCCCGGCAGCTTGCAGTATCTTGATCCCATAGAGCCTGAGCGAGTTCACTGGAAGGAAGTGAAATTGTTCGGAGGAGACCTAAGAGTACTCCAGAAGTCGTGTTTCCTCTAGCTGAGTGACTGCAGCTTGCCAGGGGAGTAGAGGATGTGGTTGTGAGATGGGGTGAGACTCAACACGCTCTGTTTATTTGATCTGTGCAGAGATGTCCCACTTTGTGTCCAATGGCGACGGGCTGGTGGTAACCGTGGACAGTGAATCTGGGGATGTCCTGTGGATCCAAAACTATGCCTCCCCTGTGGTGGCCTTCTATGTCTGGCAGCGGGAGGGTCTGCGGAAGGTGATGCACATCAATGTCGCCGTGGAGACCCTGCGCTACCTGACCTTCATGTCGGGGGAGGTGGGGCGCATCACCAAGTGGAAGTACCCATTCCCCAAGGAGACGGAGGCCAAGAGCAAGCTGACGTGAGTCGGGGATCTCGGAGCAGGAGAGGGAAGCTGTGATCCTAGTGTTTTGGGGCTGCTGCAATGTGGCACGCCCTCCACTGGAGGCCGGATTGGCACACACATCTTTGATGCCACAAAGAGTGTCAAAAGTCGAGACTGGCTCATTTGGAGCCTCTGAACATAAGAAGTGGGGATACTCCCTGGTGCTTCAGAGTTCTAGAATATTGAATAAAAACTATGGGTGGGGATAGGAAAGAGATTGGTGGTATAATTACAGCACAATTTGGATGTATCTCAGGTGGTAGCTTTTTTTTTTTTGGAGACAGAGTCTTACTCTGTCACCCCAGATAGAGTACAGTGGCATCATCATAGCTCACTGCAACCTCCAACTCTTGGGCTCAAGTGATCCTCCAGCCTCAGCCTCCCAAGTAGCTGGGAGTACAGGTGCACATCACCATGCCTGGCTAATTTTTTCTATTTTTGGTAGAAACCGATCTGGCTCTTGCTCAGGCTGGTCTCGAACTCCTGACCTCAAGCAATCCTCTCACCTTGGTCTCTCAGAGTGTTATGATTATAGGCGTGAGCCACCATGCCTGGCCAGTGGTAGCTTTTTAAACCTTCTGTATTTTCTAAAGTTTTATTATAAGTTATATTAATTTTAAAAATCAGAAAAGTGTTGCAGTACACGTGTCTAAGACTCAGCAGGCTTATATTCTCCATCCCTACTTGTTAATGGCCTGTCACTAAGACACTTAACCTTGTCGAGCCCTGGTCTCCTACTTTAGAGAGTTGTGGGGAAGATCAAATAAGATCACATAAGATGATGTGCATGAAAGTATCATCTAAAACACCATTCCAGTGGAAGGCATTTATTGAGGGAGGTTTAGATAATTTTGTGGATGACCCATCCCACGCAAGCTGTTGACAGTGACCAGAAGGGGCTGGAGGTGCAGCTCCCACTGTTTTCTGTCCCCTCCTTGATGCCTCACACAGGGACAGACCACTCGGCTGGGAGACAGACACTCTCACCTGGTTTGGAATTTCTTATGCATCCCTTTGCTGTAGGCAGCTGTTTCTCAGGCCTCTGTAGAATCTCTAGAATCCTTAGAAAGCATAAGGCAGATGGTGGTGGTTCTGCTGGTAGCTGGTGTCAGAGCGTGCTGGTCAGGGTCTGAGAGGCCTTGGTGGTGGTTGCTAAGCATTCGGCCCCCTGGATGGTCATCAAGCACGGTCCCTTCTGCAGGCCGTCACAGCATGGGCTAGCTCGGCCCTGCGATTTTGCAGATGAGGAAATCGAGGCTTGCCGTTAGGTGGCTTGTCCATATTTCTGGAGGCGGTGAGTGACAACTGGGGCTTGAAGTCCTGTGGCCCTGTCCCCAGGGCAGTGCCCCTGCCTTCATACCCCTGCTGCCTTCCTCTGTGCCCAGAGGCTAATGTGGCTGTTGCTGTGGGTGGTATTTGGGGCTGTGATTCTTCTCTCTAAAACCCCCCTTCTGTGGGATCTGGGAACTAAATGACTTTGGAATGCATGCATATGTTTTTCTTCTAGGCCCACCCTGTATGTTGGGAAATACTCTACCAGCCTCTATGCCTCCCCCTCCATGGTACACGAGGGAGTTGCTGTCGTGGTAAGTCCACGATGGGGGGCTCAAAGCTGCCTCACCACTTCTGTTCCGTTTAAGCAAAGAATGGTTTTGAGTTATATGTGAGCATCCTGTTGGTTAAGAATGCAGAACATAGATCTTAAATCCTCCAAACCAGTTTCTGCACATGCCACATTCTACTTTGAAAAAGAGATACATGCCAAAGCAGCTTCCTAAAGCCTAGGAAGACCTGGTGCCCCCTTTGCTTTTGTGGTCACACCTAAAGTCCCCAGGCTGGTGTTCCCAGCCCCACAATGCCCTCCTGCCGCACCGTCAGCATCTCTGTGGGAGTCGCGCGGTCCAGCCAAGCACAGCTTTTCCCGTCTCCCCAAAGCTCCCTGTTTGTCTCTCTTCTGCGCCTTCGTTCAGGCTGCTCCTCACCCTTCAAATGCCCCCTTCTTCCTTTTCCCAACTCAAATACTTTCCACCCTCTCGCCGCCTAGCCAAGCCTCCGTGGACCTCACCAGCCCGCCTCAGGTGTTTGTCTCTGAGCATCCAAAGCAGTGTGGTCCTGGCCACTCGTCCTGATCGTTACAGTGTTTGGGCTGTTAGGTTGGGTCTCTGTCCTCCCAGTGAGCTGATCGGCTGCTCCTCTGAGCAGGCAGCACCTGAGCCAGCACCAGGCACATGGCTGGAGTTCATGCCGCCTTGCTCATTGCATCGGTCGTGACTAGTGGATATCCATCGTTCTCCCTCACTAACGTCTGCTTCTCCTAGTAGCTTCTTGGAGTTCTATACACACACCCTTCCTGTTCTCCAGTACCCAGATGTAAGAATCTAAAAAGATGTCCATGTTAAAGATGTCGGCACAGCATGTCACATCCAAGGGGGGAGCTTCTCTTGCCTACTCTTAGGGCCTTTGTGTCTGGCTCTGTCTGGGGCCAGCCCCACACTGGAAGTCACTTACCTTCAGGCATGCAGTTCCCCCTGGGGCTCGGGCCAGTTGCTGGAAAGGGATGTTGCAGGACCTGCTCTCCCCGGGCCTCACTGCAGCCCTCTCCACAGCCCCGCGGCAGCACTCTCCCTTTGCTGGAAGGCCCCCAGACTGACGGCGTCACCATTGGGGACAAAGGGGAGTGCGTGATCACACCCAGCACGGACCTCAAGTTCGACCCTGGACTCAAAGGCAAGAACAAGCTCAACTACTTGAGGAATTACTGGCTTCTGATAGGTAAGAGCTGGTCTCTGACAGCAGCCTTAGGTGACAGCCTACCATCTCCTGCTGGGCAGAAGCTGCCTTGCTGCTTTCCCGCCGCTCTCAGCTCTGAGCACTTGTGTTCAGTTCATTTCCAGGTTGGTCCTGTAAACCTTGGAACACTTTTACCCCCAAGGAAAATAGAGCAGCCGTATTACAAGTCACTTTTCAAGAATTGTCTAACTAATATTCCAAAACTCAAGTTCAAAATGGTATAAACTTCGCGTCATTATCTAACACATTGAATGTCTGTTGTGCACCAGGCATCATGGACTAAGCACTTTAGAATATATTTTCTCATCCCTCACAGCAACTCCGCATGAGGTAGGTACCCTTGCTGGTTCCATTTTATAGCTGAGAAAACTGAAGCTGTGTCCGTGGAAGAATTCACTTGGGGTCTGTCGCTTGGGGGAGGAGAGGGTTGAAGACCCAGGAGGGGCTGAGAGGAGTGACAAGCTGGAGGCTGGACTGGGTCTGGGGCGTTGGTGTCCCAGGAGTGTGGTGCCAGGAGGTCCCTTTTTCCCCCTCCCTCATTGTTGCTACCATCACTAACAGCCTGGGGTTGAACCAAAGGCCCTGTCAGCCAGAGAGATAAGAGGTTGAAATGACACCCAAGGGCAGTGCGTGTGACAAAGGCCAAGGTGAGAGGAGCTGTGTCCCTGGCTAGTGTGCCAGCTCATTAGAGCAAGACGAAGTTTTCTTGAATCCACTCTGCCCTTCCTTTCTCCCCTCCCTCCCCAACTCCATTCTGCTGCCTCCCAGCCCCGAGACATGGGAATAATGAGCCCAGGGCTGGGTGGGAGGTCAGTAGGGTGCCCGAGCACCCCAGGCCTGGTGCGTTTTCTTCCCCCGACTCTCTTCTCCTCGTGCTTGTGCTTGTGCTTGCTGCCGACTAGTGCTAGGACAGAAAGAGGTCAGGGCTGCAGCTCCAGGAAAGGGATGTGGGGTGGCTGGGAGAGTGTGGGGCCCAGGAAGCCGCAGGCTCTGCCAGGCAGTGGGGTCTGGAAGGGGATGTGTGTAACCAGGTGTTAGAGAGGAAACCGGGCATCCTCGAGCCAGAATCCTTCCCTTTGTAAATTGTTGAAGTCCTTTTTTTTTCCATCCTGAGTCCTTGTGGCCATTTTTACTTTATGTATTGTCTTTACCAGATAATGGGCAAAGGGGAATAACAAAATAATTTTTTTTTGACAGAAGTGGTTTGGGAAGCATGCACGAATGGTTCCACGGTGAGGAAAGAGTAGCCAAAGAGCAGAGGCCGTTAACGTTAAAAGGCTGCTTAGTGTTGTGTACCAGTCAAGGGGCAATAAACCACTGACCAGTGATTAAGAAGTGAAATTAGGGAAATGTGTATATAAGAAAACAAAAAATATGAGGGGAAAAAGTCTTCATGGCTAAGTTGTAAAATGAGAACCTTTCAAGATGGAAAGATTGTCCAAGTGAGAAAACTGGGAAACCAGTGAAACATTAAGACATAATTAAGTAAGGATCCCACAAGTCCTTTTTGAAGAACCCCAAAACTAGTCATTTTTAATAAGGCCATGGCGCTACCTGACAATCTTCTATAGACTAAGGCCACAAGTAAAAGGATATGCCCTTTTATGTTCAAATATGTCCTTTGATTTTGTTTTTGTGCAAGACATTAAAGATATCTCATCTTCAAGTTAGTCTTGAAAATAAAAGGGTCCAATTAGCTTGAGAGGGGTGGTCTGTGGGTTGCCCCAGAGCATGGCCCTGACCCCAGCTGCTTTCAGCATCACCGGGCAGCTTTGTCGCATAGGCAGGCAAGTTACCCAGGAGAGCCTGATTCAGTAGGTCCAGGGCAGGGCGTAGCCATCTGCTGTTTGCTCTGGGGTCTGGATCTAGCTGATAATCGTAGATGAATGAATCAAAAAGACCTTCAAGGTATTGAAGAAAGTATTGTTTGTACAAAAGTGTTTAGTGATCTCGTGATTAAGTTTGTTGGTTCAGAGTGTGCAGCAAGATATTAATTAGTAAGGGCCCAGCTCGAGCATAAGCTGTTTGTAAGAAGGACCAACGAAGGGGGCTTCAGACTGGTGACTTCCGTAGCAGTCTCTGGGTAGGTGCCCTGCCCAGATAGTTAGGACTCTGAGCACTAAGAGCAGGTGTTGGGGGGCGGGACACTGCAGTATAACATGGCATGTGGAAGGACACCTACCTCATTTCTCTTAGACTATATGTCTCTTATTAGTGAGCCTCAGAGTTATCCAGGAATACCCACATTCCGATTCCTGGGCCCCACCAGCAAATCTGATTCCGGGTCTGATGTGTGCAGACCACAGTTGGGGAAACCCCGCTCCCAAGCAAAGCACGTCCCAGAGCTCTTGGTACACAACAGGAAGCTGGTGGTGGTTCAAAGCAAAAGTGGGTTTCCCTTACAGAGTATCATGTTGTAGATAAAGAACTGACCTTAAGATGAGGAATTAAAGTGGATTTTTCCAGAGCAAGAAATGTACATGGCTTGGACTTGTTCCTGTTTGTTGTCATGTTGGCACACGTGTCGTGAAATCTCTGCTAGATTTGGGAGAACAATGGAAAGATGACAGGGTGAGAGAGACCCGAGTCAGGGTGAGATCCGATCACAGTGAGAACAAACGGGAAAGCCAGCCAGGCTGCTGACAGCCTGACATGAGAAAGCGACCTGGCCCTTTGGAGCAGTGTGTCCACTCATTTAATTTTAGAGCTGAATGGATTATCAAGCCGTATCAAATCCCAGTTCCTTGTTTTAGTCAACTGTGTCTCTTATGCTAATTTGCACACAATAGGCGCTCAGTCAATGTGTAATGAATACCAGGTAGTCACAAAATAGTTGTGCGGGGAGCAGTGAACGGTGAGAGGCCGTGGTGCCCCATCCATCTAGCAGACATGTCTTACTGCGTTCTTAGGAGTCAGGCGGCACTTCCCCGGATGAAGCTCACATTTAGATAAGAGCAGAGTAGAACTCCACCTAGGCAGTGTACGTACTGACATGGGAATTGGGTGGCCTTAGCAGAATGGCGTTACAGGGCAAAGTGTTGAAAAGGCTCCTTGAACTTCTCATGAAGCTTCAGAATGCTTTACCTGCAGGCTGGACACATGCAGCTCTGCGAGTCTTGCTTCCAAGTACACCCCAACGTCCTGATCCCTCTCGTGACAAGGACATGTTTTTGTTCCCCATTGTGAGACTCGGAATACTGTATTCTGCCGTCAAGTTTCTATGTTGATGTAATGTTTCTGGTAACTACCTCTCGTTTTCTCTAACTTGTAGTCCTGCTGAGGGTTCGCACCGTGGACCCCTCAATAGGTAGCGACTGTTGCCTGAGTTTAGTGTTGAGTGCAACTGCTCGGGAAACTGTTCTCATTAAAGGTTTTGTTTCCTCTCCTAGGACACCATGAAACCCCACTGTCTGCGTCCACCAAGATGCTGGAGAGATTTCCCAACAATCTGCCCAAACATCGGGAAAATGTGATTCCCGCTGATTCAGAGAAAAAGAGCTTTGAGGAAGTGAGTGGGGAAGTGACCAGTCGGGTGGCTGTTCATGCCAGGTGTTGGAGGGACGAGGAATTGGGCTTTGTTCTTGTCTTCAGAGCCCGCGGGCTAGTCAAGGAAGGAGGAGGAACGCACCAGAACCCATAGCAAGCAACGTAAATTGTTAAGGGCTGACGGGAGGAAGCAGCAGCAGTTAGTGAAGGAAAGTGCAGGGAAGACCAGGACCGAGCTAGGCCTGGGCCTGGACAAATGGGCAGCATTCGGCCTGGCGGGAGGGAGCGGGCAGTGGGGGCACTGGAGGGAAGAAAACAGGGGTGGAGGCCCGGAGTGGGAAGAACGCCTGTGTGCCCAGCTCTCGGCCTGTAAGGAAACAGGCCTGGCTGGATCTGAGGTTACTGGAGCAGTGGAAAATGAGCTCACATGGGTGAGAAGGAACCATGTTACCAGGCCTGGAAAAAGCCTGATGGAAGAGTTAAGAACTGTTGAAAAAGAGGAGAGGCCTGGGCCGGGCGCAGTGGCTCACACCTGTAATCCTAGCACTCTGGGAGGCCGAGGCGGGCGGATTGTTTGAGCTCAGGAGTTTGAAACCAGCCTGAGCAAGAGCGAGACCTCGTCTCTACTAAAAATAGAAAGAAATTAATCGGACAACTGAAAATATACATAGAAAAAATTAGCCGAGCATGGTGGCGCATGTCTGTAGTCCCAGCTACTCGGGAGGCTGAGGCAGAAGGATTGCTTGAGCCCAGGAGTTTGAGGTTGCTGTGAGCTAGGCTAACGCCACGGCACTCACTCTAGCCAGAGTGAGACTCTATCTCAAAAAAAAAAAAAGAAAAAAGAGAGGCCTGAAGCTCAAAGTGGCCTGGGACTATTTGCACAGATGTGGACAGTACCAGAGTTCCTGTAGCACACCTTGGCCTGGAGCCAGAGGGGAGGGAGGGAAAGGGTTCCAGACCAGGATCCCCCAGAACTCTATTCTCCTCCCTGTGTCTCGCCTGCTGGTGTTCTCTGTTGGCTTCACCCAGTCAGAAACCAGAGGGCTGGGGAGACCATTGCTCTGGCCGCATAGTCAACCTTCTGGGACACAAAGCTGGTGGGGGCTGGAGGGTGGCTCTTCAGGAGGGGACCCAGCATGGCCAGCAAGGGGAGGATGGGCACCATCTGAAGGCCTTAGTGAGCCATTTGGGCTTGACAGTTCCTTCAGCCCTTCTATGGGCCACTATAGGCAGCCATCAGGGGGTGGGGCGGAGTGGAAGCATTGGGGACCCAGCACGCACAGCCGGGAGGCTGTGGTTAGTTTCACTGGGCAAACAATAATGGCACACCTGGAGCACTAGATGTCTGAGAACCAATCTGCTTTTTTCTAAACTCTTCCATGAAGTCCTAGAGATTCCAAGGAGCTTGAAGGGAAGCTCCATTTTTGTCTAATTTAATTTTGGGCTTCTAAGTAAAATTTTCTTTAACAAAGGGCTTCTGATACTTTTTAAAAATTTTGGGAAAATAGTGGAATGCTTGAATAAATGATTTTGTTTTTAGAGTTGCACTGAAAGTTTACAAGCAATGTAAGAAAGCTGCTTTATTTCTTCATAGCCACACGCCTCTGCTTTCCTTTTTAATGTGAAACGGTATTACCAAATTGAATACCAACTTTTCACCAGAATTTGTTACAGGTGATTTCAGAATTTTCCCACATATCAAATGTACTATCAAAGGAAGATGTTTTTGCCTTCACTGGAGATTTTCAAAAAACATATCGAATCTGAAGGCACTTCTAGAAATATTGCTCTAAAATCTGTTTTTGAATAATGATGACATCACTACAGTGATGTCCTCACAAAGCAATTGCTTTGAAAGAGGCAATGATTTATCTGCCTGTGTGGTCTTTGGTGAGCTTAAAAAAGCACAACATGTTACAGTGCAGTCATACGCTGTAAGTAGCGATTGCTTCTCTCAATTGTTCACCTCGTTCATATCTGGCTAGAAATTGGGCAGTGATACAGCGGCTCTCTCCCACACAAGGTTATCAACCTGGTTGACCAGGCTTCAGAAAATGCACCCACCACCGTATCTCAGGACGTGGAAGAGAAGTCTGCCCACGCCCCCGCCAAGCCCGAGGCCCCCGTGGATTCCATGCTCAAGGACATGGCCACCATCATCCTCAGCACCTTCCTGCTGGTCGGCTGGGTGGCCTTCATCATCACCTACCCCTTGGTAAGGCTCAGCCCCTCCCCTGGACTTCAGAGCCTGTCACCTCATGTCAGTGAAGCCCAGACAAAAACAGCCAACACATTTCTTTTCACACTTCAAAGTCAATATTTATCTATAAAAATGTAATTAAAGAGACACTAGCTTCTCAGAAAAGTGCAATTTGGTACCTAAATCTTAGTGTTTTTCAAGTAACAGGCTATGAAAGAGGATTATAAACCTTGCTTAAAGATCATTTTGAATAGTTAACTGTATTTTCTTTTTAAAAAACATAGATAAGAGATGAATGTCTTTCTTCCCTTAAAAACTGCCTGTGAGTTGAGCTTGAGTGCAAAAGGCAGCGTGGTGATTCCTTTGACTTCCTAGTTGGAAACCAGTGAGCTCAGATGACATAGTTGAGCAGGTGGTGGGTGGGATAAAATATTCTAGGGGAATAGCCCTTCAACAGGTTGCTCAAAGCATTGAGATGCTAACACTTTGGAGCACAAGTGCTCAGGATGCCCTTGTCCCGTATAGGAGTGGGAATGACAGACCCTTATGGCGCTTTCCATTGGCAGAACGTGTCCACCTGGTTGTTTACCTCACACAGTCCTGTGGGGTCACTGTTACTGATCCCCTGTCCACAAAGGAAGAAAGTGGGCTCTGAGAAGCTAAGTAACTTCCCCCAAAGGTATTCAGCCCGTAGATGGCATTTCCAGGACTTCACCCCAAGGTTAAGAGAGAGAAAGCTAGAAGACTCCCATGCGTGGGTGGTAGGTTGTGATGAAATGAACCCTTCAGAGCGTCTGAGAGGCATATGGGTGTGGGCAAGGCAGCATTCTGAAACGGGGGAGCAGGACCTTGGCCAGGCTTCCCGTGTTTCAGTCCTGCTCTGCCAATCCTGTGGCTATGAGCCCCAGCTTCCTCCTCTGCCACCCTGGACTGCTGACCATCTGTGCAGCAGCTTCTATCAAATGTGTAGCCAAAGTGGACAGCGAGCCTGGGGCTTGCCCCCTACCCACCACGCTCTCAACCACCTGCTAACCGTCCTTCCTGTTTGGTTTCACCTTTGCAACAACTCCCAGACTTTCATAAAAATCACGGAATTTTAGAATTGAATGGAACCCCCTTCCATGTGTTCCAGCCCTCTACCTAGGGCAGAGGCCCTCCCCTGGTGGCCATTCAGCCCCTGCCAGGCCCCTCCAGGGTTGGGGAGTGGGCCGTACTGGCAAGGGTCTGACTATGGAGGAAAGACCTCCAGCCAGCAAACCGATACTGCCTCCATGTGCCTTCTCGTTGGTTTCATTGTGCCCTGGGGGGTCATATAAAGTACCCTGCGCCCTCTGCCATGGGGACTGCTCCTTTCCTGGCTGCTATTTCCCTGTGGGAATGGTGACACTTACTTCTCTTCCCAGAGCATGCATCAGCAGCGGCAGCTCCAGTGCCAGCAGTTCCAGAAGGAACTGGAGAAAATCCAGCTCCTGCAACAGCAGCAGCTGCCCTTCGCCCCACCTGGGGACGCCACTCAGGACGGCGAGCTCCTGGACACGTCTGGCGCGTACTCCGAGAGCTCAGGCACCAGCAGCCCCAGCACGTCTCCCAGAGCCTCCAACCACTCACTCTGCTCTGGCAGCTCTGCCTCCAGGGCTGGCACCAGCCCCTTCCTAGAGCAGGACGATGAGGGTAAAGGCACTTGCCATTTTGGTGCTATTTTATCTTTTATTTGAGTGCCACCTGAGAACTAGAAAGCACGTGTCCTTCCTTGGAGTCTCCATGAGATTGGGAAGTGCCATTCCCAAGGGTTTACCATGCTCTCCCTGACTTCTTTCCACTCCGTGGGTCAGGGGGATGGGCTTCTGCCCCATGGCATGGCATCTCCCCCACCAGGGGGCCTTCTGGGGGCTACCTTGGCCCTCCCTCCATCTTGCTCCCTAAGGGTTGGGAATTGCTGCTGGCCGGAGATGAGCTGCCCCTCGGCTGTGAGCGAATTCGCGAGCCAGCCAGTGGCCAAGTATTATATAAAAGTGCAGCAGTTGATCTACTTTCGTCTCTGGGCGTTGGGTTAGGTCGGTTGTCAGGGCCCATGCGCAGAGGGGGTCGACACAGCTAGTGCCGGGACCCCAGAGCCC